AGAGAGAGAGAGAGAGAAGAGAGCAGAAGAGAAGGAGAGAGAGCAGGGAGAGGAGAGAGAGAGAGCGAGGAGAGAGACGAGAGAGAGAGAGAGGAGAGAGAAGAGAGGAGAAGAGAGAGGAGAGAGAGAGAGAGAAGAGAGGAGAGAGGAGAGCGAGAGAGGAGAGAAGAGAGAGAGAAGAGAGAAGAGAAGAGAGAGAGAGAGAGAAGCGAGAAGAAGGAGAAGGAGACCGAGGAGAAGAAGAGCGAGAGCGAGGGAGAGCGAGAGAGCAGAGAGAGAGAGAGAGCGAGAGAGCGAGAGAGCGAGAGAGAGAGAGAGAGAGAGAGAGAGAGAGAGAGAGAGAGAGAGAGCAGAGAGAGAGCGAGAGAGCGAGAGCGAGAGCGAGGAGAGCGAGAGAGCGAGAGAGCGAGAGAGCGAAGCGAGAGCGAGAGCGAGAGCGAGAGCGGAGAGCGAGAGCGAGAGCGAGAGCGAGAGGAGAGCGAGAGAGAGAGAGAGAGAGAGAGAGAGAGAGGAGAGAGGAGAGAGAGAGAGAGAGAGAGAGAGAGAGAGAGAGAGAGAGAGAGAGAGAGAGAGAGAGCGAGAGCGCGCGAGAGAGAGAGAGCGAGAGCCCAATGCCTTGGTATGCTTTCAGAGGAGATCGCCCACATAGCGCGGACGAGCGGCGCGCGGTGGGCGGTGGCGCACGAGACGCTGGCACCCGCCGTGAGCGAGGCTTTCGGCCAGCTGCCCCCGGGCACCCTGCGGCAGCTGTGGGTACTGGGCAGTGCCCCTCGCCTGCCCTCGCTCACGAGCCTCCTACGGGCCAGCCCCTCTTCTGAAGCCCATGCACAGGTAGGCAACATGAGCAAGGCTTTATAGGCCGTCTAGGAAAGAAAGAAAGAAAGAAAGAAAGAAAAAAAAAAAAAAAAACAGGGAAAGGAAGAATGGAGTTAAAACTGAATTAGAAAAAATGGGAAATTGCGAAATTGAAATGGCGAAAACCAAATGCGAGTACGACCCCCCTTGTCGCTGCAGGAGATCGCTGACCCGAAGACGACCGTGGCAATGATGCTGTTTTCGTCGGGCACGACGGGGCCTCCCAAGGGCGTCATGCTGTCTCACCGCAACCTCCTGACGTCGCTCCTGCAAAACAAGTGAGGGTTCTCCGCATCCGCGCCCGTTGCGCTTGGCGCTGCTCTGCGCGACTCGTTGACGCCTCAACTAAAATCGGTTGACGGATTGCCAGTTTAGCTCTGTGATGCGGAATGTTTTGGAAGTGCATGATTTCGCTTTAATGTTCATGAAGATAATGGCTCCGATGAGCACTAGTAGAATGACAATTACAGCGATAGTGAAAACTATGATGATAAAAATGATAATGATAGTGATGATAATAATAATAGTAATGAAAATAAAAATAATGATAATAATTGTAATAATAATGATAACAATAATGTTGATAAAGATACTTACGATACTCATAAAATAAGACAGCACTGTGTTCTGACCCGGCGCGCAGGTACATGAAGAGCCTCGCCCCCGAAGGAACTCCCAACTTTCTGGAATCCACGCTGTTGGTCATCCCCGTCTGCCACACCTACGGCTACATCATGCTCATCAACTGCATCCTCTCGGGCGGGAAGATGGTCATGATGGCCAAGTTTTCGCCCGAGTCCTACTTCGAGGCCATCCAGACGCACAAGGTGGGTCGGGGGGCGGCTCTGGAGAGGTGGTCGATCAGGAGGGAGAGGAGGGAGGAGGAGGGAGGGAGGGAGGGAGGGAGGGGGGAGGAGCGTGGCAGGGGGAGAGAGGGAGGGAGGGAGGAGGGAGGGAGGGAGCGGGCAGGGGGGGGAGGGGGGAGGGAGGGAGGGAGGGAGGGAAGCAGGGCAGGGGGGGAGAAGAGGGAGGGAGGGAGGGAGGAGGGAGGAGGGAGGAGCGGGGCAGGGGGGGAGAGAGGGAGGGAGGAGGGAGGAGGAGGGAGGGCGGAGGGGAGAGGGCGGGCGGGGGGGAGGAGAGGGAGGGAGCGGGCAGGGGGAGGGAGGAGGAGGAGGGAGGGAGGCAGGGGCGGAGGGAGGAGGGGAGGGAGGGAGGGAGGAGGGAGGGAGGGAGAGGGCAGGGGGGGAGAGAGGAGGGAGAGAGGGAGGAGGGAGGGAGGGAGGGGGAGGGTGAGGGAGGAGGGAGGAGGAGGAGGAGGGGGGGGGGAGGGAGGGAGCGTGGCAGGGGGGAGGATGGGGTAGGGAGCGGAGTGGGAGGAGGGAGGGAGGGGGCAGGGGGGGGAGGGAGGAGGGAGGGGGAGGGAGGGAGGAGGGAGGGAGCGGGGCAGGGGGAAGGGAGGAGGGAGGGAGGGAGGAGGAGGAGGAGCGGGGCAGGGGGAGGGAGGGAGGGGGGAGCGGGAGGGGGGAGGAGGGAGGAGGGAGGAGGGAGCAGGCGGGGGGAGAGAGGAGGAGGGAGGAGGAGGAGCGGGGAGGGGGGAGGGAGGAGGGAGGGATGGAGGGAGCGGGGGAGGGGGGAGGGAGAGGGAGCGGAAGGGAGGGAGGAGTGAGCGGGGGCAGGGGGGAGAGAGGGAGGGAGGAGGAGCGGGGCAGGGGGGAGGGAGGGAGGGAGGCGGAGGGAGCGGGGCAGGGGGAGGAGAGGAGGGAGGAGGGAGCGGGGGCAGGGGGAGAGAGAGGAGGAGGGAGGAGCGGGGGCAGGCGGGAGAGAGGAGGGAGGGAGGAGGGAGGGAGGGAGGGAGCGGTCAGGGGGGAGGGAGGGAGGGAGGAGGGAGGGACGGAGTGAGCGGGGCAGGGGGGAGAGAGGGAGGGAGGGAGGGAGCGGGGCAGGCGGGAGGACGGAGGACGGAGGAGCGGGCAGGGGGAGAGAGGGAGGGAGGGAGGGAGCGGGGCAGGGGGGAGAGAGAGGGAGAGGGAGGGGGGCAGGGGGGGAGGGGAGGGAGGAGGCGGGGCAGGGGGGAGAGGGAGGAGGGAGGGAGGGAGGGAGCGAGCGGGCAGGGGGGAAAGAGGAGGAAGGGAGGGGAGAGAGGAGGGAGGGAGCGAGGAGCGGGAGGGGGGAGGATGGATGGATGGAGGGAGGGAGGAGGGAGCGGGGCAGGGGGAGAAGGGAGGGAGGGAGGGAGGGAGGGAGGGCGGGGGCAGAGGGGAGAGAGGAGGGAGCGGGAGGGAGGGGGAGGGAGGGAGGGGAGGGAGGGAGAGGGAGGAGGAGGGCAGGGGGGAGGAGGGGAGGGAGGGAGGGAGGGAGGAGGAGGGAGGAGGAGGGAGGAGCGTGGGGCAGGGGGAAGAGAGGGAGGAGGGAGGGGAGCGGGCAGGGGGGCGAGAGAGGGAGGATGGATGGAGGGAGGGAGCGGGAGGCGGGGGAGAGAGGAGGAGGAGGGAGCGGGCAGGGGGAGAGAGAGAGGGATGGAGGAGCGGGGCAGGGGGGGAGAGAGGGAGGAGCGGGGGCAGGAGAGAGAGAGGGAGGAGGAGCGGGAGGGAGAGAGAGGAGGAGGAGTGGCGGGCAGGGGGGAGAGAGGGAGGGATGGAGGAGCGGGGCAGGGGGAGAGAGAGGAGGGAGGGAGCGGGGCAGGGAGAGAGAGGAGGGAGCGGGGCAGGGAGAAGAGAGGAGGGAGGAGCGGGGCAGGGGAGAGAGGGAGGAGGGAGGGAGGGAGCGGGCAGGAGGGGAGAGAGGGAGGGAGGGAGGGAGCGGGGCAGGGGGAGAGAGAGGGAGGAGCGGGCAGGGGGGGAGAGAGGGAGGGAGCGGAGTAGGGGAGGAGGGAGGAGCGGCGTAGGGAGGGAGGGAGGGAGCGGGGCAGGGGGGAGAGAGGGGAGGAGGGCGGGGGCAAGGGGAGAGAGAGGGAGGGATCGGGGCAGGGGGAGAGAGAGGGAGGGAGGGAGCGGGCAGGGGGGAGAGAGGGAGGAGGGAGGAGCGGGCGGGGGAGAGAGGGAGGGAGAGGGAGCGGGGCAGGGGAGAGAGGAGGAGGGAGGGAGGGCGGAGGGAGCGGGAGGGAGAGAGAGGGGGGAGCGGAGTAGGGGAGGGAGGGGAGGGCGGTGCAGGGGGGAGAGAGGAGGGAGGGCAGGGAGAGAGAGAGGGAGCGGCGTAGGGGAGGGAGGGAGGAGCGGGGCAGGGGGGGAGAGAGGGAAGGAGCGGCAGGGGGGAGAGAGGAGGAGCGGAGTAGGGGAGGGAGGGAGGGAGCGGGGCAGGGGGGGAGAGAGGGAGGAGCGGAGTAGGGGAGGGAGGAGGGAGGGAGGCGTAGGGGGAAGGAGGGAGGAGGGCAGGGGAGGGAGGGAGGCGAGGGGAGAAATTGAAGAGGAAGAAGGAAGAAAGGGAGAGGGAGAAGGGGAGAGGAAGGGGGAGGGGAAGGGAGAGGGACTGGCAAGGGGAAGAGAAAAGGAGAGGGAAAAGGAAAGGGAAAGATTTAAAGATTAAAGATTTAGTTTTAATTCCATTTGTTACAATGCATATTCCTTCGCTGTGAGGGGAGAGATAGGGAGAGGGAGAACGGGAGAGGGAGGAAAAGGGAAAGGGAGAAGGAGAGGGAAAGGGAGAGTGGGGGAGTGGTAGGGTTAGGAACTTGAGCGAAAGGGAATATGGGAGCTAACGCATTTTGAAATTGGTTATGAAGGTATTGGCAGTATTCTAGCTTTTTTTTTCTGCTGGCATTTTGCAATAACAAGCGGTTTTAGTGTTGATACCTAGTACCACTGAATCTGTACGTTTGAATGCTTGTATGAAGGACTCTTGTCCAAGTTCGAGGAAAGCCATTTGCCTCGAGACAGCCTCAGATTCTCCTAAATCTTCCTTCATTTCCAGGGGCCTTGCTGAACCCTTTGGAAAACGAATTTAATAACTAGAGCAAAAGCCTTTTCAATAACCCCTTCTCTTCACGGTCGAAAGGGACTGAATTATCGGAAAGAATTGAGGTCGTTCTTGGTTCAGCTGTTGTACACCGCTCGAAGGGTCGCAGTTTCGCCGCGTTAAATGTCCATGTAATCGATGCACTCGAAGCAATATCAGTCAAGACAGCGTTAACAAAGGGGTATTTGTAGCATATTTTCACATATATTTTCCAAAAGTTTACTATATGTCTGAAGAGTTGTGGTTGCGACATTAGCAAATTACTCTTTGAATATTTGGAATTATGTGATGAAAACGACAACAAAGAAATCGAGGTGGCAAATTCCAGAATACATTTTGTATGTGTAAATAGTAACAACATTTGGAGACGAACAATTTCAAAACATATAATGCACACATATCAACCGCACGCCGCTTGTTTCAGGTCACTTTTTCGCCCATCGTTCCCCACATCGCGATGTACCTGGCGAAGACACCCCTCATGGCAAAGTACGACACTTCGTCGCTGATGGCCTTCGCCAGCGGGACGTCGCCCCTCGCCCCCTCCACCCACGTGGAACTCATGCAGAAGGTACGCCTGCCTCGGGGACGGTCCTGGGCGTGCTTCAGGCACTGTGTGTGTGTGTGTGTGTATGTGTGTGTGTGTGTGTGTGTGTGTATGTGTGTATGTGTGTGTGTGTGTGTTGTGTTGTGTGTGTGTGTGTGGTGTGTGTGTGTGTGTGTGTGTGTGTGTGCGCGCATGCGTTCGTGTGGGGGCATCAATGTTTGTGTTCGCGTGCATGTAAAGATAGGCTTGGTTCTCCAGATGACGCCAGTACCCTTCTTTCCCCAGACCGGCAAGGGCGCGGGCGTTGGCTACGGCATGACGGAGGCGTGTGCCACCATTGCCAGCAACGGCGGGTCGATCGGGTTCCAGCTAGGTTCCGTCGGGAGGCTGCTCCCTTATTATGAGGGGAAGGTAATGTCCGAGGAAGAGTAAAGTCGTGTTCGAAGCTGAAAAGGCGAGAGTTTAAAGGGCATATGTGAAGTAATTATCGTGCATTGTATTTCTTTGAATATTGTTCAATAATGTATGCGTAGCCTATTCAAGCAAAAGAAAAAAAAAAAAAAAAATCGAAGAGACCCTCTGGTAACCCCCTAAATCCCATAGCAACGCCTTTAGAAACGAAGATGCAAAACTCGGCGGTCTTCGGCAATCCCCGGTTGTGACGTCATTCCCAGGACCAGGGAAAGTCTTGCTGAATAGGTGATACACACAGTGCACCGCGAGTCAAGGATATCATGGAATTGTCCCAGTTTCAAGCTATTAAAGTTTTAACAAAGGATGCTGTGGCGTTGTGTAGCAATTTATTGTTCCCATTCATGTCACCAGCTATTTGAATGGCCAAAAGACCGCGGCAGAGCAAGGAACTGGACACGTTTTGTGCATGCCAATCCGAGCAACTTTCAGCCTTTGCCAACCAGCTTACTTTGCCTGAAACACTTCGAGCCCGATTGCTTTGCGAACAGAATGGCTTACGACATGGGATTTGCAAAATGGTAGGCCATTTCCAATTTATATTTGTCATGATCACAACAGCGCAAAACAAACACTGAAAGAGCGCTTTTGATTGGCGGCATAGCAAACATTCATTGCGTGGGTACGACACAGCGTGCTGACTGCATTGCAAGTGTGCATGTATTACTACACAGAGGTAGGGTAGGTACACCCCAAGAAGCACAACACAAATAAATACCGATGTCCCTGCACTCGCGAATGGATGTAGGCCTGCGCCACGGGTGCAGACAAGAGATAGCTCAGCCTGCAGAAATTTTCTCCCATACAGAAGCAGAATCACACGTTCAACTATAAAAAGTAATTTAGAAAATTACCATTCATTCAATCTCTTCGGGTCTCGACGCCACTCCATGTCTGGCTGGTTTGGCACAACTTCCACGACATCCACAGCGTCGATCCAACAACCATCAACCCTTGATATTCCTCTTCTTCCAACTCTTCGAAGACGTAGGCACCCTCTAAAGAACTTATACCAATGCCCTCGTCGGAATAATCCGATGAAACTTCACTGCCGTTGTAAGTCTTGTAGTGAGTCCGCCATGTACAATGTATTGAATGTAGAGAATGCTGTGATCATGTTCTGGAATTGACGTCACACATCCGGGTTCTGGATTTTCATGGGAATTATTTTCAGATTTCCTTTTTTACTCTTATTAGAGAGATGGTTTGCGAGCTAATTCTCCCTTTTTAAAATTTTCAGCTGTTACTTCACATAAGCCCTTTAAAGACAGCTTGGCAGGACAGAACTGACTTAACGGACTTGCCCCTTGCCTTCTAAGAGTTCGCTGTCGTCTGACCCTCTCAGGTGGTGGACGTGGAGACAGGCCAGGTGCTGGGGGCGGGCCAGGAGGGCGAGTTGTGCGTCAGGGGCCCCTCGATCATGCTGGGCTACATGGGCAACCCCGAGGCCACCGCCGAGGTTATCGACGAAGATGGGTGGCTTCACACGGGAGACCTCGGCTTCTTCGATCAAGACAACTTCATATTCCTTACAGATCGCATAAAGGACCTCATGAAAGTCAAAGGATTTCAGGTAATGGCAAGAGGAGCAGGAGCAGCCTTTTCTTGAAATGAATTACGCGCAGGAGGCGGCGCTAAGTGAACTCAGTGTCCGGGTCTAGCCAGGGGGATTCGGG